GCGTTTTTGTCTTCCTGTTTCGTACCGGTGGCGGGCAGGGAGAAGGGTTTCGAAAGGAAAACAGCCGGGAATCGGGCAATAAAACAAAAAAAAAAGAGGAGGGATTTTATTTTATTTTTTTATGTCAAGCACATTAAGGGAAAAAAAAAACACAAATTAATCCTCTCAACTTTCTCGCCATCAGCAATTGAGTCCTTGTATAAAACATGCCTCTCAGCTTCCCAGAGAAAATTTACAAATAAGAATATTAATTTAATATTTTTTATTTAAAAATAATAATTTTTTTAATTTTTAAATATAAATATTAATTGTTAATTTTTTATTTAAATATGTTAATTTTTTATTTTTTATTTAAAGATTAATTAGTAATATTGACATTACAAATAAACTTTTTAAAAATAATTAACATCTTTAAATAAAAAATAAAAATTAATTAGTATCTATATTTAGGAATTAATAAAATTAATTTTTTAAATTAAAAAAATAAAATCAGCATTGTTTTGCACCTTTTCTCCAACTTCCCGAGTTATAAAATAGACTTAAAACTTTTATACAAATCTTTTTTTATACATTTTTATTTAAAAATATAAATTTATTATTCTTAATAATTTTAATTAAATTTTTATGTACTTTGATTGATTTTAATTAATTTTGTATATATTTTTAGATGGTAAAAAATAAAAAAATTTTAAAAAAACCTACAACAATAATTAACATAACATTGATAAATAAAACTTAAGTTAATTGTGAAGCTTGCATGCTGCACATGTTGAAATTCAGCTTACCTTTATGCTGGCTTGGACTCTTTTTTGTTTAGTGTCGAATGCTATATTTTTTTTATAAGAAGAGTTAAACTTTTTTGATAAATGAAATTAAGAAAAAAAAGAAACTTGCAAAATAGAAATGACAATCTTCATTTTCTATTATGAGCTACTGTTTTAATTTCTTCATTGACAATGCATTGTATTGGAAAAAATAAAAATAAAAACTCTACATCAAAACAAGGGAATTCAAGATTTAAGGATTAACTCTGTCTTTTAAATTTGAACCAATTCTGCAAACCAAAAAAGTTAATTGCCAACCAAAAAACAAAAAAAAGGAAATTGAATGAACAAAAAAGGAATTTAAAAGGGAAAAAGAAAATTAAAAAAGGAACAAAAAAAAATAAGGATAAAAAATCCATATTTTTTTTTTTTACTAATTTCTTCATACCAATATGAAATGAGATGAGAATATCTAATAACACATTTTATTAGGTGTTCCCAATCTCTTACATTTTCCAACTAATTTATTATACAATCATACTTTGACAAATGGAATATCTATTCCATTCAACCAAACTAGCCCTAAGGGTTTAATTGCCAATGTTGTTGAAGTCAAGGGGCTCATTTG